TTTGCTGTGTAAATTTTTTAATATAACTTTATAAATAACTTTTAATTATAAATAAACTTTATAAATACTTAGAGTCAAAAAACTTATTGCAATCACTGTACAATGCTAAATAATGTTTTTACAAAGATGTCTGGCTATGAAAATAGCTGTTTAACAAAAAGCAGCTAAGACATTTTTTGAAGTTTTACTTTTATCATATTTGAACTTTATTTAAAACACAATTCATAAGTATTTATAACAAACTTGTTAAAAACTTGTTTACTATCTATAGACTAAAAGCTAAACTAAACCATTTAGACTTTATTTACCATTTTGCTTTGCAACGCCTACTTACTATTCTCTTATTACCTTTTAGGCGCCTCAGTAAAGAAAAAGTTTGTGGCTTGTAATGTTTCAGTATTATTAGATTTAAGTTCATTTTTGAAATTCAGGCAGTTAAGTGAAATTCAACTAAACTTCCCACAGGTCAAATTCAAGTAATAAAGCCTTTAGTTTGGAAATTATAAATAAATCTAATAAAGCCTTTGGTTAAAAAAAAGACACTAAAACATATGATTTGGTCTTCCAACTAATATAACAAAACATTGAATTTCTGCAATTGTTTTTAGAAGAAACTGAATATTAGAAAGAAGAAATTAAAACACAGGTGCTTTATAACCATTCAAAATTGTATCAATCAAACATTGCGTTAAACTCAGTAATCAGATAGTCTAGCAAAGAAACAGTGATAACCAAGTTAAAATAATTTGAAATGCATTTTTTAGGCTTGTTTAAAGCATATTTGGAAGTGTTGATTAATAATATTTCTAATTATAGAGACAAAATCTTTTAATGCTTAAATCAGATTTAAACTATAAAAAATATCATTATTACTAGCTTGCACAATCGTGTAATTAAAAAAGTTATATGAAAAACATGTATTGTTATACACAGTGCAACAATAAAATCAAAATTTGTTATTAACTTTAGTAGAAGAAGCAGTAGCAGAGGCTGCACCATTAATGACATTCTTTGAGACAGAAAACCACAGGTATAAAAAATTTTTGTAAAGTATCCATGCCAAAATTTCACATTTCATAACATCCAAAGAAAAATCAGTAATAGCTTTTATTAAAATACTAAATAAACAAGTTTTTCCTTTATGTGGTTCATCATAGTTCCTATTAGGATTCTCATGATTCTCATGAAGGATTAATAATTAATAAACAATGGTTAATTAAAATTTATACTTTATAAGTCTAAAATCTTCTTCTTGATTATCAAAGAAAACTAAGGAACAAATACTAGTTTTTATCGATGCAACTATAAACAGCTTCTACTTGTAATAACTCTCTGTCTTCCTTTCTTGTATCCAAAGGATATTGTGATTTCAAAAATTCTACACAATTAATATAATATTTAGTCGTTCAACTTTAAAGGAAATGATGCTTTACTTTAACATACTAACTTTTTCTTTATAATGCTATATAAACTTATGAATTAAGCAATATTTTGAACTGATCATCGGCCATGTTATATGTTTAATAAAATTATTTAATTTAATAAAACACAACTTAAGCAGGGTGTTTGGCAAAAGTCCGAATTTTATTTTCCATATTTGAAACCTTTTCTCTCCTTATTTATTACTTAAAATGCAAGTTATTAAAATGATACACAGTCTAGTGTAATAAAATTGGGGATGTCCATTGATATATTTTGATATATACTTGTTGTTACTAACTAATTTTACCTCCTGGTGATAGTTAAACAATAAAACTTGATAAAAATTCTATTCAGGGTGTAGGTCAAAAGGGAAGCCCAAAGTTTGTTTTAACTAAAACTATCATTTTGATTTTTTTTAAACCAATGAAAGAAAAAATTTAAAAAATAAAGTTTTATATAACAAAGTAAAATAATGATGTCAATTCAAGTTTCTGATTATGTTATTTAACACAAAAGCTAGTTTAACCTCCATCAAAAGATTCTAATTATTATTTTTTAATTATCCCAAAATGATGAAACTGATATACTATTATGTTTTCCAGTTTTTATTTTTTTTCCAACTGTTTCAGATAATTAACCGTGCATAATTTGATTAGTTTTAGCTGTAGTTTGGTTTTATAGTTACATATAGTAAAACTTTTTTCAACAATATAATCAAGTTGAAAAACTTATTTAACTTTTTTTTGTCTAACAACGTAGTAGACATCCCCTAGACACGCCCCTGGGTATCACAAACAATCTAATTTGAGGCATCACAACCAATGCCATCCTGTGTGTCTTCCTCATAAAATATAACTTAAATTTGATTTTTATAAAAAAAGCTGATATAACTTTTTTTTCTTGGTTATTCAAGAGCTCCAAAAAAACCTTACAGTCTTACCACAGCTGCTTTCCTCAATAAATATGTCAAAAATATTACAAAAGCAGGAATCAAATCTTGGACTTGATTTTAAGGCTTTAACCATTGAAAGCATTGTTTTTATCAGCATATATGCCTAGTAATAAATAAATAATGATTTTAATGGTTTGATCATTTTTATCAGCTTAATAATTAAGAATAGAAAATTTGCATTTTAAATTTACTAGTTTCAATATAAAATTCTGAAAATGTTGGTCGGGTCTGGGTATAATAGGTATGTTAAACCCATACCAAACTTGTTTAGTTTTGGGTCTAACAGATCTAAGGCTAACAGGTTTCAGGTCCAAAATAACAAGAACCAGACCCGGTTTAAATGGGTCAGGTCTAAGTCTAGAGCCAACTCATTACAAGCTCTATATATATATATATATATATATATATATATATATATATATATATATATATATATATATATATATATATATATATATATATATATATATATATATATATATATATATATATATATATATGTATATATATATATATATATATATATTATGGTGTTAACCAGGAATAAATTTTATTAAGAGTTATTACAAAACTGGAAATTTGTAATTATATTTCCTTCCTCCTCCTTCTCTTTCCTTTCTCCTGTTCTGTATCAATGCTGCACTGGGTCTAAAATCTAAAAAACTCTAAAATTTAAAAAATGTTAAAGATTAATACGACATCCATGCATGACTTTAGAGTGCAATGGAAATTAAACTTTCTAATGATTGTCAAGACAAGTTATGCTCATTTTAAAAATAAATATTAGAAGTTTTTTTTTATATATTTAAAAAAATGATGTGTTGTTTCACCATTATTCTTTTGTGTAGAAGGTCAACTAATTATACAATTAGATGGGATGATTTAGTATGAAAAAATTATAAAAAGTAAAGCTTCAATTAGATGAGTTATGGTTTTACCCTTTTTAGTCTAAGGTTTTAAAAAAAAGTTTGAACTTTTTAATATGAAAAATAATAGTTTTTTGTTTTTTAATTGAAGCTATATAATAGTTTGTGGTTTTTTAATTTAGAAATAATCATCAGTTCCCAGCATCCTAAAAGTATCTTTGTTATTTTGGTTAATAATTCCAGCCAGTTAAAATTTATATTAAAAACAACAAATTCTAGCCAATGAGAAGTTGTTGCTTTTAATTAAAGCTTGAACATTTATTGAATATTTATTAAAATACTTATTGAATATTTATTAAAATATTTATTGAATATTTATTAAAGCTTGAATATTTATTGACCTTTGTCGAACCTAAGAGTATCATTTTATATGGGTGAATAACTCTATCCAATAAGAACTTACAGTATTTTAACTGAAATTCCAACCTATTCTAATCATTGTAAACCTGTGGGGTAATTTGGTGTTTAATACAAAATTTAAAAAAATTGATCTTTTTTATATTTTTAGATAGAATAAAACTAATTTAAGAAAAATTAAAAGTAATATAACTGCTATAAACTGTTGTGAAAGATTAGCTGCAAAATTTGCAGCTAATCTTTCACAACATTCAATGTTGTGAAAGATTAGCTGCAAAATGGAAAATCACAAAATTTTATTTATTTTTTGTGTTTATGTCTATTATTAACTACTAAAGACTAAAAGTTTTTTTTAAAAGAAATAATCAAAGAGAGGTTTGTTTCAAAGAGAGGTTTGTTTCAGAGAAACAAAATCACAAGAAGTTTTTTTTCTTTTAAATCAAATATTTAACTGCAAGAGTATATATATATACTCTTGCAGTCAGTTTTTGTTTTTTTTTAAAAAAGAAAATTAATTTAAAGAGCGGATAATTATCATTTTTTTAATTTAATTTTTTTTCAATTATTTGATAGACTACCTGCCCTAACCAAACCTTCAGTCTATGTAGCGGCACTTACTTTTAGAAGTAGGCTATAAGATAGTGGATATAGCAGGACTTTCTTGTTGCAGGCTATAAGATAGTTGATGTAGCAACACTCTCTTATAGCAGCAGGCTATAAGATAGTCGATGTAGAAGCACTTCCTTGTAACAGCAGGCTATAAGATAGTAGATCTAGCAATACTCCGCGCATGTTTTACAGTAAAAAATGAAAACATTCAAAATGTTTTTAAAAACATTCTTGTCTTTTAACTTGCATTTTTGTTATTTTTAAACATTAAATTTAATTTGTTTCCTCAATTTAATTAACGCGTTTTGTTAAAAACTAACCTTAATTTTTGTCATTTTAAAATCCATAGACAGCTAGATGCTGTTTTTTTCTACAAACTGTATATTTAACTGTATAAATGTCGATGTAGCAGCACTGACTTTGCGAGTCAGGCTATAAGATAGTTGATGTAGCAATACTCCGCGCATGTTTTGTCGAGGTAGCAAAATTGTTTTCAAAAGAGACTTTTTTTACATTAAAAGTCTAATATCGACAACGATATAAGGATATATATATATATACATATACATATACATATATATATATATATATATATATATATATATATATATATATATATATATATATATACATATACACATTTGATTTATTTAATGTTTGATTTATCTTATATAACACTTTAAAAAAAATTCAAAATTTTTAAGTTATAAACTAAGTGTAAAAATCAAACTTACAACAAGAAGAAGCACTTCAAGAGTTGGCCCAGAAGAAAAGATTTTTTGCAAACCATTCTCTTTTAAAAACTGAAATGTTGTTCCTCCCATCACAATGAAATCTTCATAATTAGTACTAAGAGAAGCACCTATTGAATCAGGTTTCTTTAAACCAAAGTAATAAACACGAGAATAGTTCACCACTATATTAACAAAAGTGACACCTTTTGGTAGCATCTGAAGAATTTCGTAATCTAAAAAATTAGGTGAATTAAGATGTTAATTTTTCTTATATTGTGTTTCCTTACAATTTCATTATAATATTTAACCATAAAAAAGTATATATATAAAAAAATCCTTATGAAAAAAAAACAAACAAAAAAGGTTACCATCTTTAGGTAGTACTTCTTTCACACCTTTAACTTTTACACAAGAAGAACTACTTCCATTGCAAACACCACAATCATCTATTTTTAAAGTCGAATTGAACTTGTTATCACAACCAAAAGGCTAAACAAATTTTTTATAGAGAAAAACTTTGAATATTAAGATTATTCTTGTCTAGTAAAAGTTTTTAGTAATATAAATAACTACTTTTATATCCATTAAAGTTATTATTTTTTAGTTAGTATAAATAAGTGGTTTTATATTACTAGTTAGGTTATTACTTTTTTAGTTAATATAAATAACTGCTTTTATATTTAAAAAAATGTAATGCATATTTATGTAAATGCTTGAAGGTATGATGTGTCATGAACTAATATAACTTTTAGAAAAAATATAACAAGATAAATATCTATATTACAACATTAGTTAATAAATATACCATAGTGTAAGTATTAAAAATTACTATGAAAATTCTAAACAGATGAAAAGATTTTTTCTAAGCTTCTTCTTTTGACAATTAAAACTTTGATTAATTTGAATTTTTTGATTTAACATACCAATTACCTCCAAAATTGCTATTGATTTGCACAACTGTGTCATTTAAGTCCGAATTGTTAGACTTTATGCAAAATATATTAAGACAGTGCTGATCTTAACACAAAAAGATAACTAGTAACTTCTTTTTCTTCTTTTTTTCTGAACGCTTTCAACTCATTTTAAAACTCATAAATTTTGTTTTCCCCTTTTAAAATTTATGATCAGTAATAAAAAGCAAAATATTCAAAAACAAGCTTCAAATTTTTAATCAGATAATTTTAATGACTTTACAACTTTTATTGTCAAAGCAGTGGATATTAATGTATCATTGCGATATTCAACTATGGAGCATTATTTGAAATGCTTTTTTAGATTGAAATTTTAAAAAAATTTTTATAATGAAACATTTTAAATCAATATGCCTAATTATGGTTGAAAAATTAATTTTAGAAGTACCAAAATGTATAAGAAGTACCAAAATGTATAAGAAGTACCAAAATGTATAAGTACCAAAATGTATAAGAAGTACCAAAATGTATAAGTACCAAAATGTATAAGAAGTACCAAAATGTATAAGAAGTACCAAAATGTATAAGAAGTACCAAAATGTATAAGAAGTACCAAAATGTATAAGAAGTACCAAAATGTATAAGAAGTACCAAAATGTATAAGAAGTACCAAAATGTATAAGAAGTACCAAAATGTATAAGAAGTATCAAAATGTATAAGAAGTGCCAAAACGCAAAAGGCATTATTAATTTTGCTTTTATTATAACGACCAGCAGATATATTTGATTCTGGTCATTTATCCAATCAATACACTATCAGTGAAGAATACAAACATGTTTTAGTACCATTTGACTGGTATGGGCGCCCAAAAATTATTTTTATTTTTTAATTTTTATCTTGGTTTTTTATGAAAAATAGAAAAAAAAATTTCAAATAATATATAAATAAATTTCAGTTTATTTTAGCTACCTCTTTTTTTCTTCAGGACAATAAAACAAATTAAAAAGAAAACTTTTTTACATAACTACATGACGTAATCAGCTTTCGGTTACTAACTGTCAAAACTATCGTGCAAGCTTAATTTTTGAATGAATGAACTTTTGATCTTTAGCTTGCTATTTTATTTTACGTGAGGAAAATGAAAAAACGAAGCGTAAACTTTTTCAAAATGTTTTGTTTCTTTTTGGTATTCTTTTTGAATTTTAAAATAATAAAAATAAAGATTTCAATAACTTAATAAAAGTTTTATTAAAATCTGTTTAAAATAACCCACAGTAAATGTAATTTATTTACTAAATGTAATTTTTTTAAATTATACTTAATGATTAAAAAAAAAAAAAAATTTTAAATATATGTTTTTTAAAATATAATATGCTTTTTAATCAAAAAACTATAACATTTTTAAAATTATGTTTACTCTCTTCTTTAATTATCTTTAACATAAAAGACATTTTAAAATCACTTTAAAAATTATTAACCTTTAGTAAAATTTAAATGAACAGATTTGCTAATATTTAAATCAAAATTTTAAAATTAAAATAAAAGTATATAAGTTAATTAAATACTTATGTTTATATATTCAAATAGTTTATTATTAAATACGTTTATTAAATGCTTATTAAATTTGTTCATTTAATGCTTATGTGTTTAATTCAAATACAAGACGTAAAACTATTTTAATAATTTTACAAATATCACACGATTTAATATATGCAAATATATTATGTAATGTAAATATTGATTAAAAATTGTTTAAAATATTTAAACATTTAATTACTAATTATTTATAACATTAATAACTACTAAAATTAAATTCACATAGTTAATAAATGTTTAAAATACTTTATACAATTTTAAATAATTATTTACTGATAGAGTGGTATTTGCAACAAAAGCGTTTATTAAAGTCTTAAGTAAAATAGCTTTCTTATTGAATCTAAAGTAACATTGTCCGACAGTAAAGTCATTCTTCAAAAAATTCATTCATTATTCAAAAAAAATGCCTTTAGATCAACTCCTTATTATAGGATAAAACTAAACAATGATAAACATAAATGATTATTGAAAAAATGATTATTAAAAATTATTGTTGCGGCACACGTTTAACTAGGAAAGGAGGAGGGATCAAAACATCATTCCCCCCCCCCCCCCCCCTTCAATGTTGCCAAAAAAAAATCGGTATTCCTAAATAAACTCTCGGTTCTTCACTGACTATTAACAACCAAAGCAAAGATAATCTTTTTAAGAGTAATTTATTCAAGTTAAGAGATTTTTTTTTGACTATTTAAACTACCACATTCAGTTTTTAATGTGATCAACTCAGTTGTTATTTCAAAATGATCTCTCAATGACATTTTATATCGTCTTTTGATTATCTTGTTACAATGCCTTGTTTTGTCCAAAACAGGGCATCGTTTACAAAAAATTAATCAAGCAAATCAAACTTCAATTTAAACTCTAGACCTTTTTCTTTAAAAAAAAACTTTAAGTTAACTTTTAAGAATATTAACTGTGGAGGAGTATGTTCTGAAAATTTTAAGTTAACTGCTTTTATAGTTTATAAGAAAACCTCATTTATGTCTTGTGCAATATTGAAAAAAACTGTAAAAAATACTTAAAACTATAATAAATATATATAAATAAAAAATATAAATAATATTATAATTATATTATTAATACCAGGTGTAGTAATTGAAAACCCGGTTTGGCACATAGATGGCGTTTTTTCAAAAAGTACTCAATATAAATACATTTTTTTTTTACAGCTGTAACATTCCTCTACAAAAACTAGTTGTCAATTGAATGTGTCTCATACAATAACATTGTTTTTTATTATGTTAAAAATGTCGAATTTTGTACCAGAAAAACATCATTTCAATAGACTTTACTTTTTTGTTTTCATTTAAAAAAAACTGCTGCTGATGCTCGTCGAATGCTTGAGGAAGCTTATGGTGAACATATTCCATTGAAAACAACTTGTGAAGACTGGTTTAAACGATTTAAAAATGGTGATTTTGATGCGAAAGACAAATTACGTCTTAAAAACTATTGGATAAAGACAATACACAAACTCAAAAAGAATTGGCATAAGCATTAAATGCTTGTCAAAAAACAATTTCCAATTGTTTGAAAACAATCGGAAAGATCCAAAAGCTGGAAAAATTGGTTCCACATGAATTGAACGAAAGACAGCAAGAAAGACAAAAAACCATTTGCAAAATGCTCATTCAAAAGCAAGAAAGGGTTTTTTGCATCGAATCATTATTGGAGATGAAAAATGTTTTTTTTTCGAAAATCCAAAACGCAAAAGATTATGGGTTTCACCAGGACAACCATCAACATTGACTGCAAAAACAAATCGATTCGAAAAGAAGAGAATGCAGTGTGTTTGCTGGGATCAGAAGGGAATTGTGTACTATGAGCTACTGGAACCTGGTCAAACGAATAAATCTGAACACTATCAACAACAAATCATCAATTTGAATCATTTATTGATTGAAAATTGACCGGAATGGAAGAATAGACATAAAAAGTGATTTTGCAACATGATTATGCTCGACCACACAAATCAAAAGATGTGAAAAATACATTAAATGCACTTAAATGGGAAAAATTACTACGCCATATCAGGCCTTGCGATGAATAAGAACTGCGCGACGCATAAGCACGACGCGATTTTTGACGTCATTAAATTCTTTTTATTTGCTTTTCATATTTATCGACATTAACTGCACCAATTTATTTAATTACCGCAAAACTACTTTAAATCGTTTATGTAGAAATGTTATTATTTAAAAATGTTTTGGAATGTTTCGTTTTTTAAAATGTAAAAACATTTGTTTATTTTCTTGACGTTTGTCACGTTTTGTCTATACTAAACGAATAAAAAACATTATAACTTAAATTTAAAAAAGATTATAAAATATGCTAATATTTGATTTTTTTTTTCTTAAATATGTAATTTAAAGTTTTTCAAATAATTATTTTTTCTTTTTAAAAAGTCAGCGAGTAATAAACTGGAAATTTTAATATTGTACGATTAAAAACTGTGCAATAGCTAATATTTTTACAAGCGATTTTATATAATATTTATTTATTTTTATTTATTTTCATAAAGCGGTTGATTAGCACAATCACTCGTATTAATAAAAAACTTAAACGAACGTTTTGAATAGATTTTTAATGCTAACAAGGAATTTTATTTCTAGTAAAATAAAATAAAATGTTAGAATAAAAATCTTATAGGTCTAAAAGAAATATTTCAGCGAAAAAATTATTCTTAAAAATTATTCTTAAAAATTATTCGAAAAACTATTGACGTTCTATTTTTCAGCAGCTGTTCTTGAGCACGCTTCGATGAGTTTCGGTAACTTTTAACATAAAAGCGATCGTTATTATTTAAGTAATTTTTTTGAGTTATTTTTTACAAAAATTTTAATAACTGTACCTTTTTATTGAATCAAGTAGAATACGTTTTGATATTAATCTTTTTTTTTTTTTTATTTGCCCTCACCAATTTTTAAAATGTTTCCTCGAAATCACTCTTAAATACTTTAAATACGTCTAACAGTTAATAAATATTTTTAAATCTATGGAATAATTTTAAAACCTATCAAACCCCTGTAAAATAATTATTTAAGTTTAAAATCTAAAACTAAAAGAAAGTATTTTTGTTCAATTTTATCGACAACGTTGCTATTGCTGAATAATTTTATTAAAATGTTAGCTTAAGATTTAAACTTTTTTTTTAATTTTTGAATTTTTTCTACTTCCAAATAATGAGCATATTTAATTTTTTTAAATTCAAACTTTTATTTCAACTGCGTGCGGTTTTTAAAATACTTTATTAAATGTTAAAATAATCGTAAATTACTTCATTAAAATTCCGCTCAAAAATATCTTTAAATATACTCAAACAAAAAATTTTTTGCTCGTTGCAAATAGCCCTAGCTACACGCAAAATCGCCCTTGGACGTCGTAAAATTCACATCGCCCGACGCTTTATCGCAAGGCCTGCCATATTTAACAGACTTGGTTCCATCCGATTACCATTTGTTTTTCATCAATGTCATTGAAGCTTGCAGACCAGCACTTCCATTAAGTCAAAAAATGGGTTGATGAGCGGTTTGCTTCAAAAAACGAACAATTTTATCGAGATGGAATTCATAAGTTGCCTGAAAGATTGGAAAAATGTGTAGCTAACAATGGAAAATACTTTGAATAAACTATCTATAATCTTTCACTAAAAAAAATGTGTTTTCTTTGATAAAAAACACCCGACTTTCAATAACTACACTTGGTATATATAATAAATATATATTTACTGTAAAAAATACTAACTTGAGTTTTTCTTTTAAAATTTTATTTATAAAGTGGATTATTTGTTGTATTAAGATCTTTAGCAAATACACAAAATGAAATTTAAAGTTACTTAATACAACACTTTCATTTTTCTTAATAAACCTTTATTTGAATTTTTATATAAATAATTTTTTAATCAAAATTTTATATAAACAGAAATTGATATTTTTTGTATTAATTAACGTAACAGACTAATGTAACATCAATTAACATAATTATTTTTAAAGTAATAAAATTTTATCACATAAATTTAAATAATTTGATTTTTCCTTTAAAACCATAAAAAAATAGATGATTAGTTTTCAATTATTAAAATGTGAAGATATCTCACTAGGAATGTAATTTGAAAATATCTACCAAACATCGGCCATTAAAACAGATATCATGATTTCTTCCATCAGTGCATGTTAGTCCATCTGCCACATTTATATTCATTTTGAAACTTCGTCCATCTCGTGAACGACAAGACTGTGTACAAGGGTTTCTAGCTAAACAGAAACCTTTTTATCAAATGGAGCCATGAAATAATAATATTGAAAGTCTTCAAGTACCTGCCATTTTGCAAAAAATTAAAACTAATCAAAGTGTAAAAGAAAAAACTTCAAAATATTCTCACCTTTTTCTTCTGCTTGACAAAGTCCAGAATTACCTGCTAAATCATCAACAGCAATGTCTGAAGACCAATGAATACCTCTGACTGCTTCAATAAAAATCTAGAAAAAGACTTTCTAAACTTAAAATTTAAAAAAAGTTTAAAAATAAAATTCAAAATTGCATCTGAAATGCTTCATTTAAATTGTAAAAAAATGATTTTGATGCACTTGATATTTGATTTTTGAATATTTTAGAAAATTTATTTAACTTAAAACAAAACATTTCAGCATTGGCAATAATAATCTGTACAATTTCTACTTAGCAGATCAAATAATTAGTGAAAAACAAATACAACTTTGTTCTCCTCCATAACTATTAAATTTATAATCTAGTATTTCTAAAGTTGTTAAACAAACAAAAAATAATTTTGTATTTACTCGATAATTATCAACTGATTCAATTGACACTTCAGCTCTCTGCCATTCTTTTCCTATATTTCCAGTTTTATTCCACAAAACTACATCTGAGCTGTTTTGATACATTATGCCAATCTTTAATTGACCCATATCTTTTCCAAACATGTTATAGTGCATAGTAAAACATAAACGAGGAATTTTCACAACTGGACCAACTAAACGTGCAGTATCACCTTCATTTTTAGATTCATTTCGTGCACTAGAGGCTTCCATGTACAAGTATGTGCCTTTTAGAAAAAAGGTTTTTTTCAAAAAATCAAAAAAAAAAAAAAATTAAATCTAAAATACATTGAACTAACAATTAAAAATTTTCTTTTAAACCTTTCTCATTTTTAGTCGTGTGGTCAAAGTCAGGCCCAGTCCCAAAACTTGGTGTTGTTCCTTTGTGAGATTGCCAGACAAGTTTACTTCTATTATAATTTACCCAATTACAAAAACCTGATTCAAATGAGCAGTTCAAGTTTTCTTTTTGAAATTGCACTAAAAAAAAAATTGTTTTTATTTTAGTAATTCTTATTTTTTGTTTATAAACCTTAAACATCCATAAACATTCAACAACTTTTATTATAATAGATTATGTAAGTTACTGTGATAATGTAGCAACTACTGTGGTATTGCAATTACTGTGGTACAGTTGCAACTACTGTGTTAATGTTGCAAGAACTGTGATAATGTTGCAATTACTGTAAATTACAATACAGTATTGTAAATTGTTGTTATATTGTTGTGATTACTGGATGACATTATTAATTATTTTATATATTATTTGACAGTTGACTGTCAACATCTCATCTACTGGATATCCCAAACTTTTGTGTATCGCGAACTTTATTTCCTGCCCCTTACACACTTGTTTGAACCAAAATAAACCTCTTGATATCTCCAACTCTTAATAATTAAACTTTTTTCCTGGTCCCCTGAGAGTTTAAGATATCGAGAGTTAACTGTACTAATATAAATTTGATAAAATATTATCTGACAAGAACTATTTTGACTTTATAATTCAATTACTAGTTCTTTACAATTTGATTAAAGAAATAAAATAAAACACTTCAAATATGACTTCGGTATTCATATTTTTAGGTTATTGTGAACTGTGAAAATACTGTTCCTACTGTGTGTTCCTACTGTGACATTTTATGAGCTACTATGAGTTTTTTAAAATTGTTTATATTTACAAATGTGAGAAAAATTTAATGATAACAATTTAGAAAACTTGAAAATTAAGTAAAACAAAATAAGATGCTGCATAAACTGAGACACAACCACATACTGAAAATAAAAATTTATTTTGTTCACAACCACATACTGAAAATAAAAATTTTGTTTTGTTCACAACCACATACTGAAAAATTTTGTTTTGTTCACAACCACATACTGAAAATAAAAATTTTGTTTAGTTCACAACCACATACTGAAAATAAAAATTTTGCAATAAAAAAATTCAAAATTCTTTAAAAAAAATTTGAGCACTTTTATAACCTTTTTGTAAAAAAAAAAAAAGTGTAATTTCTTTATTAGGGACATGCAATAAAGTATAGCCTTCAGACAAATTCCCTTCCCTTCAAACCCCTACCTCAAAAAATTAAAAAAGTATCATTTTTTTTTTAGCTAACAAGGAAAATTAAAATAAATGTTATTTATAAGAATATTTTGGTAAGTTTGATATAATCCTTAGTTGTCTTGAAATCAAATACAACTAAAGCTTTTTAAAAACAAAAAGGTCATCCTACTATAAATGGAAAGACCCAATAATTTGTAATAATAAAAATAAAAGAATCACCGACTCATAATAATTTCTGTCACTAAAACCAGTTAATTTAATCAGTTAATAACAGTTAATGTTATTACATTTATTCATTTTTTAGTTTTAAATTGGAATTACATCATGCTGAAACCAATTTGCATTTATTCATTTATGCTCAAAACATAATAAAGTAAACTCATATAATTTATCATATTACATGTAAATCTACGCATTACAAAAATAAGAAAGTGCAATACACAATAAGTCTTTAATACTCATTAAATTGTTTATGCTCATAGACCCATTGTCTGTCATACGATTATTGTATATTATTTAACCCAGTATCACCTTCGCCATGCCCTGCTGCCCTGTAGAGTGTGCTTTTTCAGACAAAGGCTAGGAGAAACAAACTCCGACTTAAAAACTTCCTGCCTTGGGGCTCTTCGTTGAGTAAAGGCTAAAGATGGTGTCTCGATAAAAATACTCATCTTGGGCAGATGTTAGCTGCATCTACATTAAATTATCCTACCTTGGGGCTCTTGGTTGAGTAAAGGCTAGAGACAATGTCTTGATAAAAATATTCATTTTGGGCAGATGTTAACTGCATTCAGCTACTGTCTTGTAGGAGGCCTCCTTGGCAAAGACTTTAGGGGTAAGTAGAATAATTCTGTTGATCATCCTCAAACCCCTACTTCATCTATTAGACTGGCCTAAATGTAAACCTGTGTTACATTGTTTCCTGTCTAGGATAATAAATGCTGGACCTTCTTGACTTTTGTCATAGGTTTTTGCTTGTGCCTCCTTGATAATGGCTATGCATCTCATCCTGTTATCTCCTAATGAGGGTATAGCTCTAAAACTCAGTTTAATGGTTTTGAGGCCGGCTGGTAGTAAGGTTTCCCAAACTCTGGGCTAGCTCTCAGAGAAGCTGATTCCATCAACAGCTGCAAAACATCAGAGTATTAACAGTGCCATGTTGCACATGGATGGTGTCCCTGTTAATGCTTTTGGTGCACGTTGTCAAGGTCACATAAGGAGCCCTATGTTACAACTTAATTTTAGGAGCCCTATGTTACGAGTTAATTAACAGAACTGAGAAAATTGCATAGCACATTGCTTAAGAGGCTGTGCTCTATCTATGAATAAGTCAAGTTCTCTTTAAACTTAAATATGCCAAAAGTAAATCAAAATATTAAACATAAAAAACCATGCCCATCACCTAACTGTTTAATATACCTTTTCTTGGTCTGAAAAGCAACCTTTCATCAGTTGAACCTTACCTCTCGCAAAATTCATCAGACATACTTGCTCTTATTTAGACTAATCTAAACTCTGCTATTCCTTCTTCTGATCTCAATGTTGATGGGTACTATCCTTTGATTCGTAAAGACTCCAATTGTCACATGCTTAGCTTAGGGCTATACATACGCATCAATTCACTTATTTGTTGTGAAATCAGGTTTGAATCTTTTGACCATTCTTTATGTGTTTCTGCTTAATGCCTCTTTAATCTAACACCTTTCTCTTTGTTCTTTATCATTCTCCTTCTTCCTAAATCTTCTATGGCTTGTGGTCCAGACAACATTCCTTTCACAGTCTTACAAAATTGTTCTCCAGAACTCTCATCAATTCTCTTTAAACTATTTAATAAGTGCTTGACTGAATCTTTTTTTCCTACCTGCTGAAAAATGACACCTGTTATTCCAATTTCAAAAACTCTGATAAACATTATTACCCCTCTAATTATCATCCAATCAGTTGTGTTTCTGTTATTAGCAAGGACTTTGAGTCTTAAATAAACAAATTTCTCACATTCCATCTTAAGTCAAATAACTTGCTCTCAGACAATCAATATGGTTTTCGATCCTCTCGCTCTACGGCTGACTTGCTAACTGCTGTGACTAAAAGATTTTATTGTGCATTAGATAGAAGCGTAGAGGCTAGGGCTATTGATCTTGACATATCTAAGGTTTTCAACAAAGTTTGGCACATTGGTCTTCTCCATAAGCTTGTTTCATATGGTGTATCTGGGAAAGTTTTTTAAATTATCAAACCGATTTTTTCTAACTGCTTTATTAAAGTCATCCTAGAAGGCCATACTCTTCTTTATTTCCAATAACTTCTGGGGTACCTCAAGGTTCTATCCTTTGTTCTATTTTGTTTCTTATCTACATTATCTTCCCGACATCCTTACATTTAAAGTAGCTCTTTTTGCTGATGACTCAACTTTATACTCCTGTCTTGACAAAAAGTCTTCCCTTTTCGATTGCTTAGAACAGGCAGCCGATCTTGAATCTGATCTCACTTCTGTAATTAATTAGAGCTCGCAGTGGCTTGTAAATTTTAACTCCAACAAAACTCAGTTATTTACTGCAAACAACTATTGCTATACTGACAACACTCCTAAATTAAAGAATGCAACCCTATCACTGAGTCCTCTTCTTTAAGTCTTCTTCTCTTTTACTTCTGAAGATTCAAGGAAACCATATATACAATGGATTGTTAAAATAAGATCCGCTAAAGTTGCTTCTCTTTATGGTGCTTGCCATTTCCTTGCTCCTGATTCCATGCTCTACCTCGAAAAATCTCTTATTCGTCTCTGTATAGAATACTTTTGTCATATTTGGGCTGGTTCTTCTAATGATGCTCTTTCTTTTCTAAACAAGGTCCAACAACGCATTCTAAATGTAGTTGGACCCAGTCTGCTAAGCTTAAGCTTTTTTTCCATTGTCATAAAGTTGCATCTCTTTTTCTTTTCTACAAATACTATTATGGCTGCTGCTCAAAGGAGCTTTCATCTCTAGTTCCATCAACCAAAACTTATTCTCGCTTGACTCGTCATTCATCAAAGTCTCATTTTTTTATTGTATCTGTCCCTGTATGCTCTAAAAACTTTTATTCGTCTAGTTTATTTCCCTGCACTTCAACCCTTGGAACTCTCTCTCATCTTCATGTTTTCAAATACAACTCATACAACCTACAACTTTTCATATCTTCTGTCAACCATTTCCTTGCTCTATAATATTTTTCTTTTTTTCTAGTAACTCCCAACTTAATAGTGGTTGCTTGCAGCCTTGTTGACATTGAATCAGATAATTAAAAAAAAAAAAAAGAGATATCAACAAGTAGCAATCAATAAAATTATAGTTTTTTGACACATTTAATTTGTTACATTTATTCACAAATTATTAAGTATTCGATTGTTAAATAACTATTGATCACAGAATTGATATCAACTCAAGTCATCAGAGAATCAAACATGATAGCTAATTATTACTATTGGCTAACTAGATAATAACATTATTACTAAAAATAAATTATGTTATTACATCTCTTCTGAAATGGAGCATCAGCATAAAGAGTCCAACCACTTTTTTCAGTTATGGCTTCACATAACTCTCTTCTCAGTGCATTAAAAGACTTTGTAACAAAACATGTCTAAATAAATTATGATCAGTATATAAATTCATATTAGCATCCATAAATGTAAAAGTGTATTTGTGTAATACATAAATTCAAATTATATAAGTTTTTAGAAGCTTTAAATTATTGAAGTAAAAATTACTAGAAAATTGAATAACTACAATTTCAAGAATGTTTTTTAAAAAAAAGCAACATTTTTAAATTATTTTTTCAAATGTAAAAAATCACCTCAGTATTACATGGCTCATACTCAAACGACCCACCATTACATGGGGTTCCTTTAGGTCCTGGTCTAATGTAAAGAGTATGTTACAAAAACAAATATAAACAAATAAAAAAATATAAAATATAAACATAAAAATCTCAACATTTAATGCATAGTTATAACAAATAGGTAAAATTTATAAAATAATTTTTACCTAGGATTTGAACAATCTCGAGCTCTTATACGTATACCTACACCACATGATCTAGAACATACTGACCATGACTCCCATGATGCCCAATTTCCATTAACAACTGGTTGCACCGTTGTGTAAATAGATGAATTTGCATCATTCACACATTGACCTTTTAAACAATGCTAAAAAAAATTAAACAAGTAATATTAATAATGAATATAAAAGCATATTTAGATAAACAATATGTATAGTAATTTTATAAATATTATACAATATATATATACACATACACACACATATATAAATACGTATAAAAGTATAAATGCGTGTTTAGATAAGCAGTGTGATGTCATACTAAAATAGCCTGTTGCTGGGGCCATCAGTACATACATCGACTATCTTATAGTCTGCTTCCACAAAGAAATACCGCTACATCAACTGAGGGTTGGGCTGGGGCAGCAACTTTTTCTTTCATTATTCTCTTTTTTCTTTTTCTGAAAAAGCTATAAGGGATAAGCAAAAAGAGTAATATATCACTGATCTATATACTCTATAGTGCATATATATATATATATATATATATATATATATATATATATATATATATATATACACATATATACATATACATATACATATATATACATATATATATACATATATACATATATATACATATATATATATATATATATATATATATATATATATATATATATATATATATATATATATATATATATATATATATATACATATATATACATATATATACATATATATATATATATATATATATATATATATATATATATATATATATATATATATATATATATATATATATATATATATATATATATATAAAAGAGTAATATATCACTGATCTATATACTCTATAGTGCATATATATATATATATATATATATATATATATATATATATATACACATATATACATATACATATACATATATATACATATATATATACATATATACATATATATACATATATATATATATATATATATATATATATATATATATATATATATATATATATATATATATATACATATATATACATATATATACATATATATATATATATATATATATATATATATATATATATATATATATATATATATATATATATATATATATATATATATATATATATATATATATATATATATATATATATATATATATATATATATATATATATATATATGATTAACATCACTGCATAAATTATGTTTACACAAAAGCAATAATTTTTTTTTATTGGTTTATCTAGACATACACTTGTTTTAACATAAAAGTTTTTTATCTAATAAAGATAAAATTTTATATATGTTACATAGGTGTTCTATTTGTTTTAGGTATACTTTAATGATAAAATTACTGGATTATAATTTGAGTATTTTTCTACTTAAGTTAAATCTCTGTTTATCCTGAACAGTTTTTCTTTGTTTTTATTACTTATTCTCTATTATATAAAAAATTTTCAAGATAAATATTTTATATTTTTCTGTGGGTTTTCATTGCTCAGTCTAGTTTAAGCACCCCAGATTACCTGCATCAAATATAACATTTTAAAATATCAAATAAACTCATACAATAAAATCCTGGTAAGTCAAACACCAGTTAATTATCTCGAACTGTTTTATTTGATTCCTTGAAATCGTTTAACTCGATAAGAGAATAACTTAAAGATTGTCAAGTCAAACCATTTTTTCATCCCCTTTCTGCAAATTTCATTGGATAACAAATATAATATATAATAAAAAATCAAAATAATTTTTAATCAAAATAAATTTTTATAAGAAATCATTTCATATAAACCTTAAGCCTAATTTTTGTTTCATCTTGTATTTACATCTGAAAAGAAAAGATCATTATCAGACATAAAATAAAGCTGTAACTAAATTGTTACAAAATAAATCATAATAAAATATATATTAAAATCATAATAACCAATTAATTTATGGTTTTAATAAATTTCTTAATAAAAGACCATTTGCATTTAGACACAATTTTATTACTCTATAGTAAAGAAGTCATTGTATTGCTAAACTTTTTTGAATGTTATCTTTTTAGTGGGCAGCGTGAATTAGAAACGTAACTACTTTCATTGAAACATTTTTTATGTTTTTATTAGTATAATTTTATATAATTTTATAGTATAATTTTACAAGTATTACAATAAATTTTAACAATTTTCTGTTAAATATCTTTTACTGATTTTACAAAAATATTAAATTTATGTGCCATAATTTTTTTACAGTTTGCGTACAGAGCCCATTAAGGGTTGTGAAAATCAGGTTTGTCAAGAAATAGGTGGTAGAAGTTTTTTAGCAAAGCTAGGAGGCAGTGGTTTAAAATAAGTGATGTTAAAACATGATAAAAAAAATTCTAAAAGTTAAAAGTCAATTATATAATAACTATACTTTGCCTTCATTACAGATTGATCCATCTAATGCAGGACTTCTCATTGTTTTGCAGTATGAAGGTTTGTCAGGCTCTGAACACCAAAGCATTTGACAGGGATCAAATTTGAACTAGATTTTAATAGATAACAAGAAAAACTAAAAAGCTCAAAATAAAAAACAAGTATGATCAACATAGCAACTTTTAATTTTTGTATAAACTAACATATATATGGAAATTGGTTAAAGAATCGAAACCAAGTTACTTGAAAATCGCTATTTAAAAAATACTTACAACAAAAAATGAATAGAGAAACCAAACTTACAGATCGGCAAAGTGAATATTGTCGATTAAAATTGAACTGACACTGATCATCTAAAGTGTACATTTTTCCTGGCAGACCATCATGAAATTTAAAAACCTGTGGTTGTTCAGGTTTTTCCATAAGACATTGAAAGTACCTATTAAACAACATTTTTAAAATACACATAAAGAATAATAAATATTTAAATTTGAACAAAAAATATAAAGCAAAATATTTGAAAACTAAAAACATTGTTAAAAAAAAATACTCAATATTTTCTTTTAAAACTTCACTGCTACATGTTGACCAATGAAAGCGATCATATCGAGCAACAATAATTGGGGCCATTAAAGATCCACGAGCTGTTTCGCCACCACATTTAGCTGATTCTCCTTCGCCATCATGATCTAAACTTAGCCTAATAAACAAATAATTTATTTGGTCATAATAATTGCTAGGTGTTGAGATAATCTGATAAATATTTTAAAAGTTATACCAGATATTGCCATTGCAATATCTGGTAACAACAAAATGATAAAGACCTAAATGTGGAATGTAAATATTGAAATGTAAAATTGGAACTTAAATGACATTAATCCAGGTTTAAAATAACAACAAAATTTTTAAATTGAAAATATTTTGAAAATTCAAGCAAATATAGCATAAAAAAAAGAACAAGAATAAGTTTTTAATTTCTCGTGCAACAATATGTTTATAATTCTTTACTAATTATTTAGTAATTTAATATAAAAAAATATTCTATTAAACTCTAAGTGGGTATGGAAGCCACTCTAAATCAAATCAGATTAAATTGATCTTACTTGATTATTGATTATAGCTTGAACTTTAGGTTTAGCTAGAAGTCCTAGGGCTTAGTATATTCTCTCAAAAGTAAGCATACTCTATGCTTACTTTTGTTTGGGATTGTCTATAGAGACTCTCTCTATAGACATTCTCAAGGCTGTCTGACTGTATTGACTGTTTTAACACAGCAATAAACTTTCCACCTTTATTATTTTTCAAACATTGTTTTTAACCAGTCAGTAGCTTTCAAAGAGCAAGAGTTATTTTGAACAAGGATGGTTATCAAACAACCAGTTAGTCTATTAATAATTCAAAGAACTGAATGGAACTATATGCATGATTGGCAAAATATCAAAAACTCTTTCATTAGGAAAATCTAGCAGAGGAAGATGACCGCCTCCATCAATACATACTTGGATTATACATTTATCAGATGTAAAACCATGTTGGTTAACAATGTGTTCAACCAAACAGACAACATAATTGCAAAAAATAACTAATCATCAAGTTAATTTTTTTATCATCATTCAATACATCAAATACTATAGTAGTAAAACTGTAGAAAGATTTAAGTGCTTTTTTAAATATCACTTGATTTTAAAGCTAAATTGATTCAACCCATTTTCAACTTCAAAAATCAAAAAAAGTCTGTTTCAAAAAATATCTATAAGTATATTGAAATCTGTTCATTTCCCTTGCAGAAACAAGATTTTTTGAATGATGCTTTGATTTTTTCGAATCAACATTTTTTGAAACAGTTAAGCCACAAACAATAGTGTACAACTGAGAAAGTTATAACCTTAATTATATTATGTTATCAAGTTATGGCTCTAGGATTTGACTAAATGTTTTAAAAATTTGTCACAATCATTTCTATGTAAACTCCTACTGTGCACAGTGGTTCAAGATCCTTAAAAAGTGGCAAAAAAGGAAAAAAAATTAAAGTCTTTAGTTTGTAAACACAAATAACTTTTAATTATGGTAAGACCAGATGCATAACAATTTAAAACTTTTTTTGAAGCTATTGCAAGGTTGTGTATTAATTTGAAGCACTTTACTAATGCTTTTTTTATGACGGAAAAAAAACGGAAATGTTCGATAAAATAGTCAGTTTTAGATATTTATTTTATGGAGACATAGTAGTTAAAGTGTTAGTATTTTTTATTAATTTACTTAAATTGTGTCAATTCACAATGTAAATGAAAGATTTTTTTTTAAGTTTATTAGGTTTAACCCATTACTCAGCATGAAGAAAAATATTTTTAAAAATTTTTTTTTTTATTAGTAACACATTATTTATGGTACAAGAACAAAAATGTTCCACATAACTCCACGCTTATGTTAGTGTTTTTGAGTACTGTCAGCAATATACTATTTAATGGAATAAAATTTACCTGCTCCAATTTGCTCCAATCTAAAATAGAGCTTTTATGATTTACTTGCTAAATATTATAATCAGCGAGTATATGATAAAAGGTTGGAGCAAATTGAAGAAAGTAAATTTTATTTAATTATTTTAAATATAAGCTCTTTTAAAAAAAGAGTATCAGCGTTACCTAATATTTTTAGTTTGTATATATATATATATATATATATATATATATATATATATATATATATATATATATATATATATATATATATATATATATATTTTTCATTTTGATGAGTTTTTATTGATGAAACACAGTGTAAAATATAAAAAAATTTGATTAGTAATTTTTTACTAATTTATATATACATATGGACTTTCAAAATACTTGTAGCTATTAAGTTATAATGTAAACGACAATAAGATTGTTAAACTATTGATAACTTTTTGTGTGTTATGTAATAGATAATATACAAAAATGAAAAGAATTGATCTTCTTCAAAAAATTAAAGGACTAGGTTTCAATAAAGTTAATTTGCTGGAATCTTTGTTTAAAGAAGTTTTAAATGTTTATAATCTTCATGAAGATGACTTCAATAAATCAGAGCTTACCAACTTAAAGAATAAGTTGTCTGTTTTTAAAGCAAAAGTGGGAAATAAGTTAGAAAAGCATAATAGAAACTATGACAGATTGATTTTAAAAGAGGGTGTTTGGCTACAGGTAAAGAAACAATAATATTTCTTAATAAATTTTTTTTATGCACTCATTTTATTTAATTAAGTTTCTATTTACAGGAGGAGTTTTTTCCAGATCTTGTTAAAAGAATTAAATCTAAAGAAGGTCCAGGTAGAAAAAATAAAGTTTGGGAAAATCTTGGTGAAAGAAGCAAAAGAGCTAAAATTGCTAATTTGGCTGAAAACAATCACGAAGCATTGGCTTTAGCTTCTTTAAAAAGTGCTGCAACTGAATCCAACATTAATAAAAACAATTTTATCTTTATAGTAAAGAAGGCTTTGGACCCAGATAAAGCAAATGAAATTAGAAAAAACATGTCTATGCATGAACCTGTTAAAATGAAAGTTGAAGATGCTCTCAGCCTAAAAATTCAATGTGATCTGTCCGATGAACAATATCAGATAATCAGAAATAGCTCCCTATTACAAAATGCAAACATCTATCCGTCTCTTCATAAAATTTTAACTGAAAAAAAGAAATGCTATCCTGATAATATGATTTTTTCAGAAACATCTGCAGTTTGCTCCCTTCAATCTCTTTTTAATCACACACTGTGTAGAGTCTTGAGTCTAAATAGTTGCAACAAAATATTTTCTGAATTATCGGTTAAAGATATCAATCAACATGGAATTATGCATTTCAAAGGTGGTTTTGATGGAGCGTCTAGCCAGAGTCTGTATAAACAAAAATATTTAGATACAACTCTAGATGAAGTTATTAAAAATGAAGAGAGTATTTTTCAAACATCTATTGTGCCTCTTAAACTGACTGTTAATGATACAGTAATCTGGTACAACAAAAAACCATCTAGTACACATTTCTGCAGACCAGTATGTTTGCAGTACAAGAAGGAAACAAATGTGCTAATTAAAGAAGAAGAAGAACGATTACGGATTGAAATTCAGAAACTTGAACCATTTGTAGTAAGTTTAGAATCAAAACCGACTGAGTCATCTATGATGACAGCAATTATAAAGTATAATTTGGATTTGACTATGTTTGATGGTAAGGTTATTAATGCACTAACAAGTACTACCTCTTCTCAAAGCTGTAATGTATGTTCAGCAAAGCCAACAGAGATGAATGACATTAAATTGATTAGATCTAAACCTGTTAATAAAGAAGCTTTATTTTTTGGCCTTTCACCTCTTCACTGTTGGATAAGATGCTTTGAGTACATTCTTCACCTTGGATATAAATTGAAAATTAGGTCATTTTATGCTAAAACATCTGAGCAGAAAGAATCAGTTAAAGAAAGAAAAGCATTTATTCAAAAGAAGTTTAGGGAAGAACTAAGTCTTATTGTTGACATGCCAAAACAAGGTTTTGGAAACACTAATGATGGTAATACTGCCAGAAGAGCCTTTGAGGAATCGATTACCTTCTCTGAGATAACTGGTGTAGATGTTGACATCATTTCTAGACTTGAAACAATTTTAAAAGCAGTTTGTTCAGGATATGATTTAGATCCAAGCTCTTTTCAAAGTTATTGCAATGATACAACAGATAAAATTCTTTCTGAATATAATTGGTATGTTATTCCTCCAAGCGTTCACAAACTTTTAGAACATGGTTTACAGATTGCCAATGCATTAGAACTTCCCATTGGAGTTTATTCAGAAGAATCACTAGAGGCTCTTAACAAAGAGATTAGAAATACAAGATTAAACCATTCATGCAAAATTTCAAGGATAAATGTTATGAAAAACCAATTTAACTATCTTATGATAAGGAGTGATCCAGTTATATCGAGCATTCAATTCACTAACCATAGATGTGAAAATGGGAAATTGCTCCCAATAGAAGTTCTTTCTCTTCTTAAACAGTCGTGATTTTTTTGAGAATTTTATTTTTTATAGATAAATTTGCATCAAAAATTTAAATTTAGAATAGTTATAATAGTAATTTTCAAAGTATATTCTAATTCTCAGAGTATAACTATTATATGCTCTTTGTTGATGTCTGAATTTTTTTTTAATTATCATTCTTTCAATCATTGTTTTTATCAAAAGAGGAGGGTATTAATTGATGAAATAAATTTGAAATAATTAAAAATAAATTATTTTATGAACTAAAATTTGAAATAGTTATAATAGTAATGCTCAATGAATTTTATTGTATTCTTTTTGTTGAGGAATGAATTTTTTTATTTATTTTTTTAAAGTTCTTTTAATCATTGTTTTTAACAAAAGGGGAGGGGCCCGGTAATAATTATGACAAATTTGGATGGTAGTGTACCGAGTGATCACGCCTGATTACAAGTTGGAGAGAGTTAAAAAAAGATTTAAAAATAAATTATGTATTTATGCAAACTATTACTTGATTCGAAGTTAAATTAAAAATCTGCTTGCGCGTATCAAATTTCTTACGTACGTATTTTTTAGATACGCGCACGTTTTGCTGGTTGTTGCGCGTAAAAATAATTTAAAAATACGTAATTGATCTTTTGACTAAAAAAATAATAACTATTTCTTTAATACATATTAACATGCGATGGTTATATAATTTTTGCCGTTTTTTCTTCAATTTGAGTCACTGTGCTGTGGTACTGTGGTAACAACAATGTAACTTGAAAAATATACATGCACTTTTGTGCATGTATTAGATGGAGTGCATATATGACCTGTATCATAGTGAACTCTTAGTTCAGTGATGCACTCCACAAATACTAAACAAAGAATGCATTATCTAATGTGCATGTATCATGGCATAGATAAAATCAATACAGTGCAAGAAAAAGCTCAAAATAAAAGTAAATAAAAACTTTACAATAAATGCAACTCTCAAACAAGTTTTTAGATTTTGCTTTAAAAAGATAACCTCAAAGAAAAGTTTTAAACTAGGTTTAAATTAACATTTGTTACTAAAAGTTATTTTAAACCTTCTGTTAAAAATCTCTATTAAAACTTTGTGGCTGAAACCAATAATCTCAACAAATTATCATATGATTATGTAGCAAAATAGGTTGACAGTTGATCCTATTTCTAGCTATACATAGCAAGGGATACAATTTTTAAATAGAAGCAAAAAAGATGACAGAAGCTTAAAGAATACATTGAATGCTTCAAAAAAACAGTAATCTCATCTATTTTAAGACACTTTTAACAGATGAAGTTTTGACCCTGGTTTAATAGTTAAATATATAAATAACAAGTAAAAATTTTAAATATTTACACCCATGAGGCCATCCATAAATGAGGTCAGTAAATATAGGGGGAGGGGGTATTGAAGAGTTTGACAAGAATTGACAATGGGGAAGAGAGGGCGTTGAGACCAAAATGATGACAATTGAAAATAAATTTAAGTTTATAAAAGCAGATTTTAAAGGTATTTACATCTACAATGTGGTATAGAAATGGCATATTTGCTTTGTGGGGAATTTAATGTAAGTTTCCCAGAAACATTAAATGAATTAAAAAATATACCAACATTTTATTATAGTATTACCATTTGACTGAAAATCTAATTGTTTACAATTATCAACAATTTGTATATAAATTTAACAATCATTATTTGCTTACTAGCAGATTATAAAATGTACTTAAAAGCATACATATAAAATCATTTGTCATTAATTAAAATACAATTATTATTATAATCAAAGATCACTTCAACAACCCATGGGAAGATGAGTGATTGAATTTATATTATAGATATAGAATAAAAATTTGATTAATTTGTTTATTATTTGATGAAGTATCAACTGTTCTACAGAATTGTGAAAAATTTAAGACCCATCAAAAAACAAATCATAATTTATTTTTATTTTTAAATTTTTATATTCCAACCAAACCGGTTCTTTGTTTTTTTTTTTGAACAATACAATTGAGATTATATTTTTCTGAAGGCTGCCTTCGGTTATCAACCTCAATATTTACCTCATAACTGAACATTACTGTCCTCCATTTTTCTTTAGACCATTCTTTGACACTTTGGCAAAATTCTTTTCACTTTTTTATTTGTTGTTTCGCTTTTTTACCAGTTGCGGTTTTAGAACAGTTTTTTTCCATAGCATATTGTTAGCTATTAGTTTCCTACATACAAGTGATGCCAATGCTTGACGTCCATTTGAAAGCCTCCATTCCCTTTTTAATTCATGCAATGGCATTGTTTGACTTTTCTTTGCCAACCTGATTAAAAGGCCATCATCATTCCGTGTTGTCAAATGCGGTCTTCCAGAACAATAACGATCAACGTAAGATTTTGTCTCTATGAATCTTTTGATGATTGTTAGCACCAAATTATGTGATCGTTTTATTATTTTTCCAATTTCACGAGTGGTTTTACCTTGCTGGCAAAATTGCACTACTTTTACACGATCTTCATAGGTAATAACTTTTCTGCTCATTTTTTCAAAAGAAATTAAATACTTTTTTTAAAATACTTTTGGTTTTTTGGTAATGACTCAGGTCATTAATAGAATATTTAAATAAAAAAAGGTGAAATTCAATTTAAAAAAGTTGCTTTCACTGCATTTAGCACAAAAAATTCTTTGTGGTTCTTAACTTTTTCACAAAAAAAAAATTGAAAAAATTTAACACAATATTTATTCCTTATTTTTATTGGTTCTATTAATTAATTTTCAAAAAAAAAAAATCTTCTTTTTTCTCATGTTCAATTTAATGTTTGAAAAAAAAAGACTATTATCTTTAGAATAAAAATTAATTAATTTTATTTAAAAAAAGTATATTTTTTTATTTAGTGGTTCTAAATTTTTTCACAATACTGTATAATATGACTTGCTGAGATCTATTACTATATAAATGTATAATTTAAGTAGAAAAAAATTAATGGTGTTAATGCATATTTTTAATGTTACTTTAGGGGAGGGGCTAGACAAAAAATGACATCATATATAAGGAGGGTTATCCAAAAATTGACAGTTTGACAAAGTTGAAGGAAGAGGGGGGGGGGGCAAAAACTGAGAAAAATCACTGACATCATTTATGGACAGCCCCCATGTAAAATTAATCTCACAACATTCAACATCCAATTAACTTTATGCATACTATATATCTACCGCCAATTATATTGCTCTGCATTTCATCATATACACCGTTTTCAAAAAAAATCGGACTAATTTTAACACAGTAGGTGTGTGTAACATTTATACAGGCCAAATCAACTAAGATACATATATAGAGACACTAGAGAACTGCATGGTTCCATCAGTGGACATGCGGATTGATCCAAATTAATGATGGCAATTTCAAAAAGATACTGTACAGATGTACTGTACAACTTGTACAGTAAAAGCATAAATGAAAGAAAACAAAATAGATTTTTTGCCCTGGGCAGCTCAATTACCAGATTTAAATTAAAGAACTAGTCAAGGTACAAATCTATATATTAAGCCTAAAGCAAAAATTAGATACTATTTACAACAATCTTGTTAAATCTATGCAAAAAAGCTTGTGGGAGATATTTTAAATACTAGATGCTATTTTTGTTGCATTAATTT